GCTTAAAGCCTTAGATCATAGAGATAGTGTCTTCCTTTGAATCAAAAGGCAGGCATGCTCATGGGCCAGGCATAATAAACATAATGTCTACCTCTGTTGCCAAGGAAGATATTCTTACTGTACATTACTAACGATTCAGGTTGTCTGTGCTTGGAATTCTTTTCCTAGAATGCAACTGATTGCCTGTGCAAGCATCCTAGGGTCCACTTTGCTTCCTTCGGTGAGAGTTGAGGCTTGGGGAATCAGCACAAGTACTGATCCTCTAGCTACTGCTATTTGTTGTGAGTTAATAAGTTTTCTTCTTTTCTGACCTAGGAGTCAGTGCCTTTTGTCAGCATCCAAGGCAGGCTCACTTGTTAGCTTGCATGTAGGGCAAAATTGCACACTCGTCACTCTTCACAGCTATAAGAGATACAGTCAAACCTCCGTTCTCAAATGTCTCCCATCTTGAGCAGTTCAGTTCTCAACAAAATTGTGAAATGGAAAAATGTCTCAGTTGTTGAACAAAACCGGTTCTTGACCTGACACCCCTTTCATGCTGATACATCAGCAAAACAAAAAGTGTCTCCCAGGCCACAGAGGAGAGAATGCACCAGTGTGAGTGTGTTTAGAGCCAAACCTTGCCTTGTTAACATCTCAGGAACTTGTGCTGTGAATATTTTTGTATTTTGTGGGTGTTTTTTCTTTTGTTGCTGGCACAATTTTAAAACATAAAGAGGCTATCAAGAATGCTAATGTTGCTAAAGGTGTGAAAGAAACAATGGTCAGAGGCAATTGAAGAGGCAGAAATACTGTTATTAATTTGGATAAAGGAAAAGGAGTTAGCAGCCAGTGGACAGCATTTCAGGGGCAATGATATGCAGAAAAGCAAAGATGCTGCAGCTGACCTCCTGAAAGACATACCTGGAATGAGTGCTGAAAAAGATTCATTTAAGGCTTGTAGGGGTAGTTCAATAAACTTAAGAAAATAGTGTTTGTTTATTGATTAAACAGTACATTAGACAGGTACTGTATATAAGAAAGGTTAAAATGGAATCATTTGGGGGTCTGGAATGATCAATTCAATTTTCATTACTTCTAATGGGAAAAAAATGAATCCGTTGTTGAACAAATAGCTTCTCAAACAGCCTTCCGGGATGAATTAATTTTGAGAACTGAGGTCCACTCTATACCTCTACTCTCAGTGGTATGAAATAGCTGACATTTATTTTTGTCCATAAAAGTAAAAAATATTTTCTTTTTCTTCTTGGCATGGAATTCTTATTTAAGCAGTGATTTGGGGATGTAGGCACCTTTATCTATATTTTTTCTTTTATTATTTGGTTTTCATTAGCTTCCAGATTTGCCATACTCATCTGCATTAAGCTGGCTGAGGGGAAAAGAAGATGGGGGAATGTGTGTGGGATATTTTCATGGGCCAAGCTTAAAAATGGTACATATCATTCACTTTCATTGACTTTCATAGAACTTGTTCAAACATTACCCTTAGATGGGGAGAAATGTGATCTAGTCCTGTGTCCATGAAGAAGAGAAATGAGTTTGGTGGAAAGTTTTTTTCCACAGATGGAAGGTATTTCCAACCAACAGATGTGAAAATGAGCAAGACATGTCTTTAGCATGGCTAAAATCATAGGCTGCATGAAGTAGAGTGTGGTAGATGATGAGAGGCGTGTCATGAATCATCTTTTACCTTAGGTTGATCTCTCTGAAGGTGACTGGCAAACGCTGAAGGATTTTAATCTTGGAATAACAAGATTAAGGGAGAATATTTATGAAGCTATAGCAATAGAGTGAGAAAAATGTCAATTTTAATGAAGCCAGTGACAAAAGAGATTCACTAATACAATAAAAGTAATTATTGAACACACCCTGAGGGTCATGCATGGTGATGGTGATGGTGATACAGGAAAATTGGACTGGAACACACGGTATTCCTCTAGGCAGGATGGTTCTTGGGTTCTTTGTCTGGTGGAATCGAAGAATGAAACCACGGAATAAAGGTGCTTTAGCAAAAGGTGGAAATTTATTGAGAAACAAGCATATGGGGGTGAAGGGAAGAGTCCCACTAAGTCCCTTTTCCTTCAGCGTATAAAGGCTACAGATCTTTGTGCCTTGATATCCCCTCTGGTCACTGCCCCCCTTAGATTGGTTACTATAGCAACTCCAGAGCTCAAACCTCAAGTGAAGTATACTAAAGTTCCCTCCTTCTTCTCCCTTATTGTTTCCCTGTTCCCTCTGGGCTTTCTTCTTCCCTCTCTGAATGAGGGGCTCCCTTCCCTTTTTTTCTGTAAATGTCTACCTTTCTGCAGCTCTCAGTTCCCTTATCTTATAGAAATGTACCTTCTACTCCCAGCTCCCTTATCTTATGGAAATGTACCCGTTGCAGCTCTGTAGCCCTGTGCTTTTTCCATGGACCCCTTCCTAAAATTTACTAAACCTGCCTATTTCACCCCTAAAAGCTCCTTTCAGTGGGTACTAGATATTTGCCAAAATAAAACCAGTAACAAATGGACCAGTGAGATACTAGTGGTCAGAGAGAAGGTAAAGAATAGTATGTGGCCGAAGCCGGTTTGGCTCAGTGGATAGAGTGTCGGCCTGTGGACTGAAAGGTCCCAGGTTCGATTCCACGATTCCGGTCAAGGGCATGTACCTTGGTTGTGGGCACATCCCCAGTAGGAGATGTGCAGGAGGTGGCTGATCGATGTTTCTCTCTCATCGATGTTTCTAACTCTCTATCTCTCTCCCTTCCTCTCTGTAAAAAAATCAATAAAATATATTTTTTTAAAAAAAGAATAGTATGTGGTGGGGGAATGTCTGAGGAGAGGCTTGAGGTAGGAAAATAATGGGATCAGGTTTAAGTTATTGAATTCCTGAGTTTGTACAACACTTAGGTGGATATGCCAAGCACGTATTGTTTATGTATAGCTGCGTCTCCTTAGAAAAGTCAGTACAGAGTTGGTAATGCCAAGGAAGAGACTAAAGATCACCAAGATGGGGCTCCCACATTACACATATTCAGTGAGTATGTGTTAATTGACTTTTGTGTTATTTATTTTTCTGTTAAAAAGGAAAAGTTGTTACTCTTTGATTTACTGAACACATTTTGACTTTTTTCTGATTTCTCAGGTATTCAGGTAGAGTTAATAAGTACCCATAGCTGAAAGATGTAATGGTAGCATTAGATTTAAGAAGAAATCTAAAATAATATTAAGTGAGCATATATTCTGCTTTGACTGAAATGGCTATCATTGGTGGTGTCTGTAATTTCTTCAGATTGCTTGTTACTTCTGCTAGCTACAACAATGATGTATTGGAAAGTCTCAAGCTCTTTAATTGTACACATCATATTGTACAATTATAATGTACTTAAAAAACATAGTTTCCTTTTCTTTCTGGTTAAACGTTGCTGTTTTATAAAGGAGTACTCTTCCTCCATGTATGCTCTGAGCTAATTGCTGTTGCAAATATAGCTTGAGTTTACAATCAGCAATAATGACACCACATGGCTTAAGATTACCTAGTTCTGTTTTGTTTGTTTTTTTCATCTTTTGCACTTATGGACTGGAGGTAATAAGAAAGAGGAGTGAGGTTCTCTTTATTTACTCCACTTTTCTATGCTATCCATGCCTGTCCTTTATTGCCTGGTTGAAATGATGGCCACTCTGGAAATGAAGCATGATTTCATGACTGCTATCCCAGACTGAGCCTAAAGCTCAGGACGGCCGTACTTCCCTTGTCCACCCTCTACCCTCAAGTTAACCGCGTGCATCACAATCTGCTCAGAAGATGCAGACATGAGAATTCTGTTTTCTTCTTGGTTAATTTTTGCATATTGAATTGCCCAAGTTCATGGAAATGGTGGGGGGTGGTATGTAAACATTGTAACAGGAAGCATCTGGGTTCTTCTACTGAGTTAGTTAGAAGAGGATGCTAATAAAACCGAATAACCGCTTTGGACTCTAAAAGAGCCAGTGAGCATTTTTCTATAGAAACAAACTGGATTTTGCATGCTAAACTGTCACTTCACTAGTCTGTTTCCATGTTACAAGGACAGGGTAAAACTATAAATTGGTTGACCTAAATTTACAAAGCCTTGAAGTACAGGTCCTGCTGATTAGGTTGATTCCATCAGCTATCCCTGTGAAGAACTTGATAATGAGTTACCCAGACTTAACTTGGCTCAGAGATACCAGGACGTTGTGCTGGTACGGTCTGAGAAGGTGTAGTCTACTTCTAATTTTAACTGCAATGTGACATTTAGAAAGGCTGTTCCTATTTTTTCTATTTTAAACTAGTGTCCTAAATAGGTGTGTCCATACTACTTAGTTTAGGGACACAGGCTTCAGAGTCCAGACCCTCTTGCCATTTCAGATTTGGCAGAAAGGTAGGACAGGGTGTTAGGTTGGGCTGGAGCTCGGCTGTTTCCAGTGCGATGTCAAGCGCTAGGTCCTACTGGGCTGGTGGTTCTGTGTTTAGGTGCTGGTTGTGCTGTGTGATACAAAAAAGAAAAAGGACACCTTCATTTCTAGCCTCCGGTTTCCAAGCACAAGCCAGAATACCAATTCCACATTCCTCAAGTACCAGGGGATAGAGGACACCATCTTGTATGACTGTGCTTGGTAGAAGTCTATTAATAAAAACACCTAATTTTTCCATGAACGCTAACAATGGTTAGTTTATCATCACATGTAGAATTACTCAACAGGTTTGCTTTTTGGATCCCAAGTACATCACCATTTCCATGTGTATCTTAGCAATTAATCTTTGAATTTTATCATAATTAGGTTGAATATCATGAAGTTATAAAAAAAAATCTCATTTTGCCAATAACATTAAATTGGTATTTGGATTATGTAGTATTATTGCATTGATTTCTTACCATTTTAAAATTCTGGGGTGAGAATTTAATTTTACAAATTGTAATAGTTTGACTTTTCTAATCAGCAAGTTTAATGCTTTAACGGTTGTCTGTTTTCCTTGCCTTGTATTTTCCATTACAGGAAGCATCCCCGTTATCTGGACTCCCCGAGTATGTTAAAATAGTAGAAGTTGGACCTCGCGATGGATTGCAGAATGAAAAGGTAGCTTGATATCACTTTTGCACAATTTATTTTAAATGATAAATTAAATATTCATATTTTTTAAAACTCTAAAGACTTATATTTCATATGCTACAATATAATATTTGTTCTCATTGCTAGTTGAATTTATAAATCTTAACTAGGATTTGCCTTCAGTTAAGAAGTAATTTTCTGTTTATGTTTCAACAGACCCTATACACATTAATTATAAAATAACTTTCCATGTTTTCCTAGGTTATAGTTCCTACAGATATAAAAATTGAATTTATCAATCAACTTTCCCAAACTGGCTTGTCTGTAATAGAAGTGACCAGCTTTGTGTCTTCCAAATGGGTACCACAGGTATGTAATCCATAACTCCTTATCTGGGTCCTTAATTCAGCCTTGTCAAGATTTAGAAAGCAATGTGATGTGCATTGTGATATAATTATTAATTTGTTACCTTCTTACAAATTATAGCGCATACACTGAGGTAAGATTAAGGAAAAACCTCTTTGATGAAATATCTTATATAAATTAAGTCCTAAAAAGTTATTTATATGGCTCAGCATCATGAGCAGAGGATAAGGCTTGTCCCTGACATCTTTCACCCCCACTCAGTTTAAGGTTCCCCTGAGGTTCTGCCTTCAGCAGTTTTCTCTGTGCACTTTTGCCTATCCTTCCAACATTAATAGTCACTTCTAAGAGGATACAAACCTGTGTTCCTAGTCCTCCCCTTTCTGGGGAGGTTCAGCTACATGTACCACCAGTACCTCAAACCGGTGGGTTCAAAATCACTCATTGTCCGATCCTACTATATGCTAAAAGCTCAATTGTTCCCTTTG